ATATATATATATATATATATATATATATATATATATATATGTTCGATAGGGTTGCTCTCTGTCTCTCTTCTGTTTAATCTTGTAATGGAAATGATTCTCGAGACAGCTCTATCCTCGTGCTAGGGTAGCGGTATCGATTTTCTTCCGAGTAATAATTTATCTGATTTAGGGGTCCGTAGATGCTAAGTGAGGATCCAGGTAAGCTGCTATCTGTTTTGGATAGTTTGAGCCACATTGTAGCTGTGCTCAGCCTGTTTCACACGTTCGGTGTAAAATTTTGTTACAGGACTAGGTACAGCTCCAAGCCTAGCCTGAACTAATGAAGCAACAAAAAGCGTTAGACGACTTTGGCTATTCGGGATGCTACATCTCACCTAGCGAGTGAATCTCGGTTGAAGGTTTTGCACGTACAGAAAACTCGGTCGGCGTTCTCCGACTTAGGCCATCTATATTGCCGTCACGACTTTTGCCTGTCTCTCTGGCACTTCAGTTGCAGTATTGTCTTTTTTGTCTTTTTCACAAAATGGATGGCAGATTCTAAAGCTTCATCCATCACTGAATATGGGGGTATTCAACGTGAGGATTCCGATGCAGGTAGGTCAACAAGCCTGTCTGGCAAGTACAATGGAATCCTTAGGGTTCGATATTTGCTGCGTGTTGGAGACTCGAATTCAGGATTCTACTGCCATGAGCCACTTGAGTGTGCCAGATTTATCCTCGAGGTTCGTTCTTCGCATATCAGGCGACGATGAAGCCCGCTCAGTAGATTAGCGCGGGGCAGGTATTGTACTCAGTAATGGCTCAGTCATTTCTTACCGATTGGATCCCCGTCAACAGTCGTTTATGTGCAGTGCGTCTCTAGGGTTCAATCAGCGTACGGAAGGGAGGCAACACCAAAAGGTGTTTGTTCATCGTATCGGCATATGCACCGACCAATTACAGTTCTGATAAACAAAAGGACGATTTCTACGATAAAATCATCGATTTCATTCGGACGAGTTGAACTTCTGACAGTTGTACTTGCAGGTGATTTTAACGCGCAGGTTGGAAAACGACGCATCGGAAGCTTGCCTAGGTGGTATTTCTGCTCTGCCCTGCCAACGAACAGATGACGGCGATCGATTTCTTCAGTTCTGCGCAAGTCATCATCTGTTCCTATTCAGCACCAACTTCCGACGTAGCTCTCGACGGACGGCAACGTGGCGCTTCAGTTCAACTGGTACGCTAACTCAAATTCACCACAGCAGTAAGCTACCGTTGGCGTGGCTCAGTGCAAAATTGCAGGTCCCATTGGACCACCTGCTTTGAGTCTGACCACGCATTAGTTCTGATGCAGTTCACCCTTCAGCTAACTGGTCGACAACAAAACCAGCAAACTCGGATAGTTGGTCATCGACTATCTGTTCCAGCCGTCCGTGCACGCTATGAATCAGAGCTAGTGCGTGAGCTAAGCGCGTTTCAACGTGATGATGTAGATGGGCAGCGAGGTCAGAATAGGTGAGCAATGCATTCCGCAGCGAATGTTGCTTGTGGGTCTGATCCTTAAGCCGGTTCGAGGCGTTGGATATCTCAGGAGTCAGTAATCCTGATGGAGAAAAAAGGCATCCCGATCTGCCAGGATCAAAACAGAGTTAGGGAGCATCTACAACGTTGGTATACGAAGGCTTCCAAGAAAAACCGTGAGAACTGGTGGGAAACAATAGCTAGTGAAATGGAAGTAGCAGCTGCATCAGGGAATAGTCAAAGGCTGTTCCGACTGATACGNCACGGGAGTTCGGCGAACTCCAGTTAGTCGTATTATCTACGATATGAGGGGACAAGCTATTCACAATAGAGCTGAACAACTTGATCGCTGGGCGGAATACTTCAGCGAACAGTTAAACTGGCCTGGCGCTAACAAGATTGCTTCATCTGCAACTGAAGCTCCGTGGGAAGTGTCGTGCGATCCTCCAACGGAAGCAGAAGTTCAGTCCTGCATCCAAGCTCTGAAGCGAGGGAAGGCAGCAGGACCGGGTGAGCTCCCTCGTAAGATGTATTAATACCTTACTGTGCAACATTTGGATGCAAGAGCGCATTCCTTCATCTTGGGGCGAATCACTGATCGTCCCCATTCTCAAGAAAGGATCTCGTAAAAATTGCGAAAACCACCGCGGGATAAGTTTGATCCCGATCGTCACCAAAGTGTTGACTTCGGCCATACGTCTGACTTCTTTAAGAGCGACCAACATCCGTGAACAGCAAGCCGGATTCTGGCCTGGTCGTGATTGTATTGACCAAACTTTTACGTTGCGTCAGGTCCTTGAGCTGCATCACACCCACCGGCAACCAACGATCACAGTGCTCCTTAACCTGAAAAGAGCCTTCGACCCAGTGACCGCGAAGCTCTGATGGGTTCCATTCTTCGAAAAGGAATGCCGCAGAAGTACGTTAACTTGCTGAGGTCACTGTACTCACATAAATCTGGTCGAGTGAGGGTCAATAATGAACTAATTAGGCCGTTCGTCATCATCAGCGGCGTTCATCAAGGGTACCCCCTCGCCGTTCCTATTCAATTTCGTCGTGGACGAAATACTGGATGAAGCACTTAGCGGTCTCCAAAACGTAGGTATTGATTGCGCAGCTGGAGAGAAGCTGTGCTATCTGAAGTACGCCGATGACATCGTCTGTCTGTTCGAGTGTACGGAGGACGCGCAATGCGCACTTGATAGACTATCAAGTTCTGTTGCCACATTTTGGTATGAGCTTTGCACCTTCAAAGTGCAAAGTGATGTTTCAAGACTGGATCTCGTCGAGTCCCGCTCTGAAACCAAATGGCCAGAAATTATTCATGGTGCATTACTTTTCCTACTTAGGTAGTTGCGTGACCAATGACGGTAACGCAGCAAAGGAGATAACCACCAGCATTTCCAAGCCTCGAGCAGCGTAAGAAGGACTGAAGCACCTTTGGCGTAGACGCGACGTTTCACTGAAGTTGAAAGGTCGTGTGTATTGTGCCACCGTTCGTTCAGTTTTGCTTTATGGTTGTGAGACCCTGCATTTGCTAATAGATTTCCGTAGACCAGAAGTTTTCGATTATTGATTTTTAAGTAGTTTAGCCCACATGGGATGGGGCGAACTGGTTAGTAATCTGGAGGTAAGCTGTCGTGTGTTTGGGAGTCTATCAGTTATAAACCTGCTAGCACACGGAATTCAGATCAGTAGACTTCGCTGGCTTTTTTAAAATTTTTTTATTACACATCCACGTGTGATGAACAGCAGACGGGGCGAACCCCATAGTCACGAGGACCTGCTGTTCAGTGGTGGAAACCGGCAACATAAGCCCGGGACTTGGAGTGGCAAACCACATAAGGCCCCGATAGGTTAGGCGTGGTATTGGACCGGACGACAGCAGAGCTACCTACCGCCAAAGTCGGGTGGCGGTGGCTCGAACCTCGGACCATAGTGTCCAAAGCACGCCAGTGATGGCGACTAAATCACTACGCCATCACCACCTCGGGCACTTATTGCGTATGCCCAGAGTTCGATTGTGCACTCTGTGTTGACCATAATGGTTCACCTTCTTCCTCCCTCAAAGTAGGTCCAATCCCTGTCCACCTTAAATTCACCTTAAATTCGCCACCTTAAATTCATTGCGAGTTTGGTAGCGATCAACGAAGTTCGCTTCACTGTAAGATGGTGATGATGATTAAAAGAGCCAAATATAGCTGCAAATGTAGGTTGGAGTCATGTTTAATGCAAAAGATTTTCTGTGCAATGTAATTTTGAGTTTACCAGCTCCATGCTTGAATGTTTCTCGACGCTTTTATATGCAAAACACTGCGGCGTATTTTAGTGTGTAGCGTTCATGTATGAGGCTTGAACACGCATGCTTTTCGTTTGTCATGATTAGTTTATAATCTTCTCCAAGGTCAATCACGTAACTGATTACCATCATTTTTTGCAGATGCCCCTACTAGGCGGTAAATTGCACGTTCCCAATCCAATATGGAAAAAGAAAAAGAAATCCGACGATACAGACCAGACGCCAGAACACAATGAAAAGCCCTGTTTTCTCGTCGAAGAGACTTCCGAAATCTGTACATCAGAGCAGGAATTACGTCGAAAGAACATGGTTTATGCGGGAAATATTTGGACTTGCCGAGTTACAGGTCGATCTAGCCTGACCTATAAGCAAGCTTCCCTGAGTGAGGCGGCTGCAAGCCGAATTTTAAAAAAACATTTTCCGAAGTGTTTTGAGAAACCAGTTTTGGAGCGTGTTCACTTAAGTAGGTTGCACATTCAGACTACAATTTCGTAGACAATCTTCCGTTGGAGACATTAGTTCATTCATGCTGGACCTTCCTACATGAGCAATTTCATGTTGACGAACCGGTCAAACTGAAGGTTGACTCAGTCTCCAGCACACCGTAAGTTTATTTTGAACCACTGATAATATATGATTCAGGATCCATGGTATTATACATGAAGTTGACATGTCCGAAGCAAATAAGGTAAGTATTCTCATCAGACTCATTCCCTTATTTCATCCAAGGACGGTGAAGTTACACCCAACAATAATTCGACCACTTCGCCGAATAACAGTGACAAAGAGAATAGCGCATCAAAGAAAAGCACACCAGTCAAAGTTGTTTCCTGTTCAGTATTGTACTAATATCGCTCATTTCCTTTAGAAAAATTATGCTTATACAGTGAAAATTTTGTCCGACGTGCCATTAGTTGTTAATGATGTTCCGGCTTGTTCCATCAAGTAGGTACCCACTTTTTTATCGCAACTGACTGCCCTGATACAGTCGTGTGAATAGGACACCGACAAAGGAGTACGTCCGTATGTTTATCCGCGCTCATGCAATGCGCTATGGACCTAACTTCAGTGGTCCCTGGATTGTTGACAACGATATGCTACGTCGGCATAAGATCCTCACAAAAAATCAAGGGATTGAAGTCGACCGAGTAAAGGTAGGTTACAATGAGTGCATTGTTTTGGTGTTGTTGTATTGTTGTATATCATACGGGTCTGAATCCAGGCTGTACCAAACAAATCAATGCACAATTGTCTTTCTAAAAGAGGAGAAAGTTCCATGATTTGTTTGTTGGTGTAATGCTGCAAGATTGCCCAGGCCAAGGCAAGTGAATTTTCTTTGGGGAATTCACAACCAGAGCTTTTGACTAGCCAAAGTCGACCCGCAAGGCAACGGGGNCAACGGGGTGGTGTGTGAAAACCGCAATCCATTAGGGGCCGGTATATATATATATATATATGTTTATATGCAAAAACAGTGATAGATAGGAAAGGGTACAGCAAGGTAAAATGAAAATGGGGAAAACGGAGAACACGGAGGACAAATTAATGAATTTTTTATGGTTTCACCATATACTTTTTGAATTTTTTGTTTGTTAAGGGGGGGGGCGGGATTTCAACAAATCCAACGGCACAATAATCTCACCACTGACATCGATTCTGGGCTATATTTCTCAGCGTCTCTAACCATTGATAATCCTCATCCCTTGAACCCCAGCTTGGACGGCGAGCTGCACCAACGGAAGCCAATGTTGAGGCTAACTTCTTTATACCTTTACGCCAGGTCATGGTCTGATCGCCACGGCGCTTCTTCCAGCCTTGCCCCACACGTGCAAAGAGAGCACGGCGAGGTAGTTAATGAGCAGGCATACGCAAAATATGACCGAACCATCGGAAATGTAGAGCGATTACTTCCTCAAGAGAACTACTACCGGTACCCAGAACACGGTAACGAACCTCTTCATTGCTCAAACGATGCTCCCGCCAGACACTGGCGGTTATTCGAAAACAACGGTGGTCGAATACAGAAAGTCAAGTCGAATTCTTGGCTTGTAGATGCCATGTTTCGCAACTGTAAAGCGATACTCTGAACCACGGCGATGTACGCCCTTCCCTTAAGGATCAGTCGAATATCATGGCTGCTCTACAAGTATTTCAGATTGTCAAAAAGCTGCTCTAGCTTTCGCTTTTCGTCATGTGATGTCTTTCCCAACAGCAACAGCAGCTGCGATCAAGCTCTCGAGATACTTAGAGCTCTCAACCACTTACAGCTGCTCACCACTGAGGGTGAGTGCAAGTACAGGCTCCTGCTAGTCTTGAACAAGCACTTTGTTTTTTGGTGGTGTATACGTGGATACCTCTATCGCCAAGCGGTTCAAAGCCAGGACTCCTTGTGTATTGCCACCCAACAAGGCCATGTAAGGCATATTTTACGTCAATAACTCTGTTCCCTGGAAGGAGTTCGACTCCACCGTTTGCTAGATCGGAGGAAGCGTCCTGCAGAACACCCTCTGTGGCGAAGTTGAAAAGAATGGGGATAGAGGGCGGCCTTGTCGAGCTCCATTGGAGACGGCGAAGAGCCGGTGAAAGTTCGCCATAGGCCCTAACCCACCGAAATCCATTAAACCCCTACGCTTAAAACACTCAATCTCTCACTGCTTGTTTACTCGCTTAATGTGAGCTAGGAACAGATGCCCGTCAAGCGTACGTAGACCGAACGGACGCTTCGTCTGCCGTAAAACCCAACGCTTGGTTTGATCCATCATCCGTGGCTCGTTAGCAAATCTGTCTCGTTAATTCTACCTTTCCAGTTCACCTCGCGCTCAAAATTCTTCTGGTCGTCTTGTTTGTGAGCAACACGAGTAGGCTGAGGTTTTTGTTTCCCACTACACCCTAGCCAATTTTTCTGCTCCTACTACCTTGTTTTCATTACCTCTTCTACCACGTAGTCCACCAGGCACTGAACCCACTGAAAGCATGTGAACTATTCGGTCCCGACAGTATACCACACATCGTCCTCAAAATACGTCCTCCGGGGTTAGCCCCTTTTCCACGTCATCTCTTCTGTCTTCTCCTCTAACTTTCTACTCCCCCTACCTCTGGGAAACACGTGATTTCTCAATCCCAAAACGCAATGATTTTTCTGCCGCCAATAAAGACCGCACAATCGTTCTCGAATTTGTTTTTTGTAAACATTCGAATCCGTCATCTCTGACCAACTGCGTGCGTTCCTCAAACGTGAAGGTCTATTGAGCGACTACTAACCGACCACGTCTTTCTACGGAGGACCCGAATGCTCCTTTCTTAGTCGGCTGCGCTCGACAGCTACGGAAAAACACCTGGTATCGCTGGACTCAAAACCCCTCGACTAACTTTGGTACGAAGATCTACCGNCCGGTAAAACTGCCCATGTTCGCCTTCCTACTGGTTCTCGTACGTGACTATCATGCTTCCTCTGTAAGCGATCCACTTCCGTTCGAGTTGATGCGGTTCTATCTCAGCCGTTCCCTGCAAACGCTAATATTCTCTTCTATTCATCACCGGTCTCATATTCAAGAATTTCAGCCTAATCGTTTGCTTCAATTTTCCTCTTTCTTACTACACTACTATGACAACGCTAATATTGATAGCGACTGTAGTACAGTTAATGTGTCGCTGGACTCCGACCACGAATACTTCCTCCTTGGGCTACCACAGTCGTGTTGCTTTAGTCCTTCAATCCCTTTTCAATTTCTCTGAAGTAGTAATCATTCTTCTCCCTTTTCAGCTTGCTTCGGATGCTATGCACAAAGTGGATTTTCTATTTCCCACGATTCACTTCACCACAGCAGAAGTTTGTCCCATTCTTGTATATTGCGGTTAGGTGTGAGATGGTGTCTCGTCTGTAGCCGTTTCTGTTATTTATCGTGTTCAGCGGAGAACCTTCCGGTTGACCGACGGCCCTTCCTTATCTTCTAATTTGCATTCATCCCTTTTCTACCACTACTCTTTTGTTTTTCTCTTCTTCACAACTTGCCTCGACAGTTTGTCTTCCCGTTACATTCGCTTATCCCTCCCGTACACACGTAGCTAAACACCGTTATCAGATCTATATCACTAAATATCGTACTATTAAGATACGGGATACTCCAACTCTGTCTTCCCATTCAATTCTATTTTTTATTCGTTAAATCCAGGAGCAATGGATTGACTTTTGCGTTAATATTCTTTCACACTCCCTTTTTCAGTGTCTTTGGGCTATGGTGTTTACCCCATTATAATTCACTTTGTGTCACTAGAGATCATTGAGGCAACTGTCTGAAAGTGTCAGGAATTCGTCGTTTATTGCAAATAGTTAATTCATATTGCGGCGAATGCTTTCAAATGTCATCCCCGACGAAATGCGGTGACGTAAACAAAAAAAAACAATAATTAACTTGTTAGGCTGTCATATTGAACTGTTATTTTTCAACCGCATGAATTAATCTATCCCTCTTTCAGGAGAGTCTACCATTTTATTGCTCCTAGATTGGTCGTCATCAAACGGGTATGGGTATTACATTGATCACTACATTCCAGTCTCCTGAAAATATGTACCTGTTTTCGATTGTGCTGTTCACCACATATGGCTGCTGCTGCTATTCGCAAAACCAAAGGAGCCATTCACTTTGGTTCCCGTCACTCAAAATAACAGTGTCATTCTATGTTTTTGTTTATCGCCAAAGCTCAAACAAATGTCCACTGCAACAGAAGAAGAATACGAGGCTCGCTTAATAAATAACCAACGCCAAAACAGTGGGAGTTCCAATCCAGAGGACTTCATCAGTCCAGCACCGATTTTCAAGAAGGTTAAGCGGTTTTCCGTTTTAAGAGAAGGAAACAACGAGGCCACAGAGGATGATCTCCCGCTGTCGAGTTTTAAAGGGCAACCGAAAACATCACGCAAATCCATTTCTGACGATTCGCTCACGAAAAAAATGAAACAGGTAAGTCGCTAACTCTTCACTATTACTGAACGGCTCTGTGCCGCTTAGCGATACCTGAGTTTTAAGTGTTGTTCCATAACTTACATAGTGTTTTAGCTGTTTGTTTCGATCCTTTGTTTGCACCATCAGGGTATGCTGTGCTGCCACAAAGTGGACTTGATTCCGCTTCTAATCTTGATTGTCCGAGGCAGTGATGACAGCGACATACGAGTTTTTATACTTGTCCAACTAACTGTCATAATGATGATCATCATCACCGTACAACGAATGCCACTTATTATTGCCGAGTTCACTCCATAGGTAGTTAAGATCTGTTTGTATATTGTGTAAGAGAAAAAGACACTAAATTCATGTCTAAGATATTGCGCATATAGACCTTATAATTGACGACCATTAGAACAACACTGCTGTCGTTTCGCTTCTTTTTTTCTCATCTAACCAGAGATAATCTTTTGGACCCCGACTCAGAATATGAAAGACACTTTGTCCATCACTCTCAGTACAGATCTTAATAACGCGTCTCGACTTCGTCTGTTGACCTTCATGTACACGACTGCATACCCGCTCGTTCTATCTTATCTGCATCAAACTGCGTGAACACCGAACGACGAGTATCTCCAGTCGATGAATGTCTTGTACCCCGGAAACGCAGAGTCTCACAACTACAAAACATAACCAGCCGCACAGTGATACCGTATACCTAGAAGTGTTGAATGAGTGATTCGCGTCTTTACTGGAACAGAGACCAACCTTTATATTCCAGAAAGATAACTCCCCAACATACCCGGTGTCAGTATGTAATTTGGCGTTTGCTGGGTGCCGTAACCCTCTAGATCGTTAGCTCGCAAACCCACTGAACACCGTCGGGATCATCTCAAAAAGAAACTTGAAGGCGGAATGGGATAGCGTGATTAAATGGTGCTGGTAACAACTTTTTCGCCTTCCTTGTATGCAGTATGCCACGCAAAGTGTGTCATTGCTGACAAATGTCCTTCTACCAAGTGGGGAAGGGATTTTTTCGAAATGGGTATCTGAAACTTTAGAGTACGACGTAGTTCGGGTGAAATTGTTTTTTTTTCAAAGGTGAATTCGTGTATATGGCAAATGAAGCGTGAACTGAAAAGCTAGGAAGCACTGGACAGCTTTTTCGACCTGGTTGGGTCTCATCAGCACTGCGACTCCATCAACCCAACTGGGGATCGAACTCGGGACCTCCAACCGAGTCATAACCCGGAGGCTAATGCTAAGATGAACGAGGTCTGTGTCCCGCAACAAGCTCGCAAAGATGGGTTGTACTATATCGTGTAAATGGAGAATGAAAAACGCTTTAAGCAGCTGCCTGGTGGCTGAGTGGGTAGCATGCTTGCGTTCTACCTTTGAGCTCCCGGGTTCGACCCCAGTTGAGTCGATGGGTTCTCACTGCTGATGAGACCCAACCGGGTCGGTCCAGCTGTTCAGTGCTTCCTAGCTTTTCATTTCACGCTTAATTTGCAATACACATGGCGAATTCACCTTTGAAATTGAATTGAATCCTCCATTACTCACTGGAGATTGTTTTTTTTTGAAAACCCTGTCCAGAGTCTTTAGCTCAAAAGGCTGATTCACAAAGAAGTGGAGCATAAATCCAATGCGGATTGTGAGTAAAGCACCCTTGGGGAACTTTCGAGAGACCTGTCCGGCAAGGCCTTCAGCTTTATCTTTAGGGTGTTGTTCGCTGGTGCGTTGATTGACGATTTGCTGTTCGGGATCGGTCTTTAGCACCCAGTAAGACCGGCCGAAGATGGACGAGACAGCATCTTATTGGCTGGTCGCTACCCAGCTGTCCAGTGGAGTACGAAGACTCATCCCATCGTCTAGAGGAAGCCTCAGACACCCTGCTCCTAGATCAATCTAGTGGTTTTTTGACCGATAGGCTGTTCGAGTGGACTCCTTGTTTGCTTGAGTGAGAGGGGGTAGTCTAAGGATGCCAGGAGGTGCCCAATCATTGGCCTTGCGCGACAGAGCTTTGTCTGACCTCTACCTACTGATCTTCATACAGCAACCTTATCCGCCGCACGAAGATGCATGGTCAAAGCTGTAAAAACCGAAACCGAAGCAGACTTCACCAAATACGAATAGCGTCTGGTATCAGTAGAAAAAGTTTCATTTGGACCACTCGTTAACGGGACGTCTCGATACATTGCCTTTGGCGATCAGATAGGTTTGCGCGCGATTCGTTCAGTTGGAGTGTGGTTCTTATAAATCTGCCTAGCAGTGTCTTGGGTGATTCAGTGGAGGAGACTGTTATGCCTCGTCCAGCTCCAACTCTCCAATCGCCGACTGCCTAAATCAGAAGCCAACAATAACAGCGCCGACGGGTGGTGGGCAGCTTTGCTGTCGCCCGGTTCTATACCACGCCTGAGCTGGCGGGGCCTTATGTGGTGGTTTGCCACCACAAGCCCCGGGGCTTAGGTTGCCGGTTACCACCACTGAACAGCGGGTCCTAGTGACTATGGGGTCCACCCCGAATGCGATTCACACACTGGTGTGTAATAAAAAATGGTGTGCGTGACAGGTAAAGGAAAGAGTGCTCATTGCATATACATGAATTGCTGTTTAGTGTTCCAGAACTTGTGCTCAATAACTGATATTGGAAATTTCCGTGGCAGAGGTGATCAATAAGATTGAACCAAATGGGGATTCACGAAGTTACTTATGCATTCCAGCACACTCCGCGAAAACTGAAGCTTTTGGTGGTTAATTTCGTTTTTCTGACAGAGACAGTGTGTCGTAGTTTCACGATCAGGATTCACAAAATTCCTGAGTGAATGAACATGAGATCACCTTTTAGGTTGAATTTCATCTCGTATTAGTTTAGTGTTACCGCTTCGTCGCTGCATATCTATAATAGAAACGTGCTTTCTTGTCCAGTTGTTCTTTATACTTTACGCGGTTTATTTATAACGGAAAGACGTATTTTTCACTTGTTTTCTAGGCCACGCTATTTCAGTTCGGGAAAGGTTCATCCAAAGACTCCACTTCTACTGTTCCGAGGACACCAAAGCAGACTTCTACTCCTGTGATGCCCCGCGTAGCCCAACATCTTGTCAAGATGTTTGAAGAAAATCGTGACAATCCGGCCATCGCAACTCAAGTGAATGTTTGTGCCAAAGTACTCAGTGATGCGGATCTGGGCAAGCTTCCTAAGGAACTACGTGACCGAGTACTCCTTCGAAAGGAAGCCATCGCCTATCGGAAAAAGCTGTGAGTTTCCATTGTTTCTAGTGTGTCTAATTGGGGCGGTGGTAGCCCGGTGGTGACTTCACCAAATTATCACCCCGGAGGACGTGTGTTCGAATGCCACCATCATCGCCTAACTTTCCTAATTGTGTTATATCGCAGCCCTCTGATTGGCCGCTTCCCTCTTCTTGAAAATCTTCTCATTATGTGTTCAATAGAAGGAAGCAAAAATGAAGAAGAAAAAAGAAAAACCTTCAGTTTCCCGGTTTACCGCAATCCCATCCGAAGTTGATAGCCCGTTAGTCTGTAATCAAATCAGCCGAGTTATTGCTCGTATCTGCACTGATACATTTCTTAGATGGATGTGTGCGTTGTTTACTATAAAATCAGATCTAGATCAAGAGGTGACGTAGAAGTATTATCTCCGGTTGAAAGATTGTTGTATCTCTAGGGTATTCCATCATTCTTTTTGGTTTCCGCCTAACCTTCAGCTTTCATATGTGGCTCAGAAAAGGTAGATGGCGGCTATACCTTTAAACCATTCGACAAAAGACTTGAATCGGACTGAGGGTTTTTCAAATTACAAACCCGTTTGAGGAAAAGTAGGAGAGATCAAGAAACAGTCCCTAGGTCCTTCTGTTCGGTGATGAGAACCGGCAAAACGTGCTCTGGAATTTGGACCAATTCACTGTACCGTCTATTAAATTTTATCGAATCACTAGGTCTTACATCCTGGCCTTAGTGTGCCGAATCCCTCCCCCTCAGTTTTCAAATGACCGGAACGAAAACCAGAACATTGTTATTTAAAGGCATTGGCTGTGCAAACTGAAGTGAACGGAACCGTACTTAAGCGGATTCTGTCACGTGTAACTTGTCACCTGTGTCTTTCTTAAGTCTAGCTAACCTTGGTTTAGACTATCAGATTGTTGTCATTGCTTCTGTCCCATGGTCAACATATGTGGCTACTCGACTGATTTATTTGTGTTGAGAAGGTTAGTCATTCCTTTCTCAGTCCATTTGTACATACTCTTTCCTTCAAAGCTGTACTTTGTTAATATACGAAAGCTACGATTCGGTCCCATTAGTACCCTCTCATCAACCTGTTATCATCCTTCTTACCCATTGTATTTCTGCCAGGTTAAGCATGACACCACAACAACGTAAGGCTCTGCTTCAAGAACGACGGGAAAAACTGCGGGCTGAACGACTATCTGCAAACCGGTTGATAGATGATCTCCAGCTTGTCAAGTCGACAGAGATTTCTGACAACCTCCCAGAACCAACAAGTTTATCCTTACCGAAGGAGATTACTGAATGTTTGTTTGGTCGACTCTTGGGACTTTGTGAATTCTTCCATTGCTTTCAAAATCTTTTAATCGAAGGGTTGGAATACGGAGAACCAGAAAATCATGGTGAGAATGCCACACAAACACATTCCTATCCGCTATCCCCCTTGGAGTCTGCTGTACCTTTTCCCGGAGAGTCAGGATATTCTGATGACGAGGACAAATTAGACACAGATGTCGAAGAAGAAGAAGCCGCACTGATTGTTGCAACAGCTCCATTACCCGAGGCGTCGGCACGAGCACTTCGTCGTCTTGGACTGCGTCGTCTCATCAAGGCTGTATCAATGAATTCACAATCAGCTGGCGCTTATCGATCCATCACTCGTCCGTTGACTTTGCTCATGCGACTCCTGTTGCGTGATGAAGATCTCGGGGTATGTTCGATTTGACTGGTCCATTATTTCATGAGTGTTATTTAATTTTTATGAAGAGTTCCCATCACTGCATTGCAATCAACTTGTTTCGCCCAGATATCAAATCATTACTAGCGACGAGGG